CAAAATCATGTGCTAAATTAATAATTTTATAATTTTATACAATTAAAATTTTAAATATAATCAAAATATACATATATTTATATATTTACGGATCGGATCGGATATCCGCTTTCCAAAATTTTAATATTTGTGATTTGCTTCGATTTTAACGGATATTGAATTTTAGTATTTGCTTTGATTCGAAAGTTTACGGATATCCAGAATTTTCGGATCGAATCGAAACGAATAACGGATCGAATCAAATATAACGGATAAAATGCCCAGCCCCAGTTCTTGTTACATGACTATTAAGTTTTTCTACAGTAGCATCCGCTGATGAAGCTGAACATGGTTTTAGTGCATCTGCCTTAGCTTCTATGACCATTCGGAAGTTTTCAACCTACATATAGATAGTTTTCTTGAGTTTTTTTCTCTCGTTATTAACCAGCAAAGTTAGGCTGTAACACTACTATAGGAGACAAATGAGGAAGTTCAAGGCTGGCTTATTGTGATTTGGTGGGAGTTGCATACACAGAGGAAGAAGCAAAGGAAACGGCTGCGGAGATCGAGGTTGTTATATGGACCAAATGATGAAGGTGAGATGTTCACCGACCTGGTAGCTGCAATGTTCGCTAATGGAGGAGGGTATCCACCTGATCTAGGTCTTATAACTAAGGTTTATGGTGCTCTTTCACCTCAATTTGTATACTCTTCAGAACTCTAAAAAGCTTTGCTATTTCTGCCAGGCACGTAAAAAATGGCCAAAGCTACGTATTTTGTCTTTTGACTGGTTACTGTGATCCTCCATTCCTCTTGCTGGAATTTCAGTAGACTTGTTTATCCTTTTATGGCATCAATCTTATTATTACAACTTAAAATTGTTAAGTGCTTTAAAAAAATCATCCTTTGGCAATGGTACAAATCATAGAAGGGTTACAGTACAATTCTTATTTCCCTGACGGAGCAATCTCTATGCCAAATATGCTCAGTGGAACTTTTATTCTGCATACGAAAAGAATTACAGATCCTAGAGCGTTCATGGAGTAAATAATACTCATATTTTTGAAGTTATGCTGCCTATGTGTAAAGATGTTGTATCTTATTGAGCTTCCATGAAGTAAATAGTGTATTAACTTTACATATTAGATTTTGATCCGCACAACCGCGCGGGTGTTTATTTTCACTTTTATATACATAAATATTTGTTTTAGAACATAAGTGGTATATACTTTTAACATTAATCACATACTTAAATGTTCATATAACTATTTCAAATACAATAATTTTATAATTTACATGTTATATTAATCAGTTGTTAAAAACCGTATGTAACTGTCACTTCTTATTATATATTTATCTTATTATATTTGCATTTAGTTATTAAGCAAAATAATATATTCATGAGAAACACATATTTGAAAATAATTTTATATTTAATCTATGATAAATTCTAACCCAGCCTTCAAAACTGGATCTTCTTTTACCAATAATTTATGTTTATTCATTTTAGATAATATGTTATTGTATATGCAAAACTCTAAGATATACCAATTTTTAGACATGTATTATATAGTTTGCTAATTTTAAGCCGTTCTATCATCATATTATATATTTAAAATACATATTTTATATTTATGAAAATAAAATTTATAAAATAATGGTTATGACTATGAAGTAAATCACATAGAATATAATTTAAATTTCTCATTTTATTACAATAACATAAAATACATTAACTTATTGTAAAATATTTTACACAGATTTATTATAAATTTGAAATTTTAATATATAAATATATATTTTATATTTAAAATGAAAAGATATCATGATTAAAGTAGTTACAAAAATTTTATATTATTGATTTAGTGAAATACATGTTAATATATATATACATGTATTATATAGTATACTAATGTTAACCTGTCTTACCAACATATTAGATTTTATTTTTGAAACAAATATTTTATTCTTACGAAAATAAAATATAAAATTTATCAGTTTAATACAGTTTTATTATTTTTAGCTTAATATAATAATTTTCTCTTAATATGATTGATTATGATTTTATAATAGATAATATGATATAATTTTTTATTTTTTATTTTATAACTGTACAAAATATATTAATGTATAATAATATTTCAAACTAATTTATGAATTAGTGAAAATATTTAAAGATAATATCAAAAATGAAGATCTTATAAAGATCTTTTAAAACATATTTGTTATAATTTAAATAAATATATTTATATTTAAAATGAAAAGATATCAAAAGATATTATGATTAAAATACTTTAAAGATTTTATATATTATTAGTCTTTAAAAATACATATAGTAAAGATTTCCAGTGATGGTCCATTTTTTTTTTAAAAAAATCATGCATAAATTAAGGTAATGAATTCTATTTTAATATATAAGATTATTTTGATTTATGTTACAGACGGATAAATATTTGTAGTTTCCTATCTTTTTTCTGTCACGAATTGGACACGAATAGTCATGGTTTTTTACTTCGTGGCTATTGCCGAGATTTCTATTAATGTTTTTTAAAATGTTATAATTTGATAAATAAATATATTTTTTTCATGGATGAAATAGTTTTATATACTTTTTTGTATGCTCTTATATACTTAAATATCACATTGTGTTGTATCGAGGGTTCTGAAGTCAATAAACTCAGGAAAAATACCAAATCGTTTGAAAAGGGAGAGAAAATAGAAACTATTTTTTTTGTTGAGCTGTCATATCCGGCGGGCTGAGATTCCACCAATTAATTCCCAAATTTTTGTCTATTGACACAAGGATAGATAGTATATGAGTAAGGTGTCGAACTCGCAACCATTAAGATCCTTAGGAGCCACCATAACCATCTAACCACATCTTTATAGTTTTTTTTTTTTTTTTAACACTGGATAGTAACATAGTTCAAGTGAACAATTACAGAGACTAATAACGAAAAGAAAGATGTCAGTAGACACCGTCATAAAGATATAAGATAATAGAAGCAATAATTAACCACTTCCTTACTTATTTAGCCTCCAATACGAGCAAGTGATGCAGCCATGATGGGGAATGCCGAGCGATATACGACTGATGGCGCTTATCCCGAGTGACACTTAGAGCAATGGCTGCTGCAGCGTCATTACGTTCGGGAAGAGTATGATCCAAACTCCATGAAACAATACTCGACAGAAACCATATGATGCTGTGACGGATGTGGCTGAGGCTGGGTTGTGCAGTAGGATTTGTCATCGCTTCATGTAGGCATTCCGAGGAGGTCTCAACAATAATATTCGTGAAATGTAGGTTGTGCAAGCATTCCACTGCCCAGAAGAGAGCCCATAGGTCGGCCTCGGTTTTTGTGCGCATGTATGAGTAGGCCCGTCGACTATGCATGATGGTGGTTCCGTTTTCATCGCGAATAATCCATGATGCACCACATCTTTATAGTTAAAAGGTAGAAACTTGAGTATCTAAGACCAACTCCAATGGAGTCTTTCCATTGAAATTTTTAATATATATATTATGTATATATATTATATATGTGTAAATAATTGTCGGGTCACCAATTATTATGGAACTCCATAAATAAGTGTTCTTAAAGATTCCTAAAACCCTCTTTTAAGAATTCTTATCTATGGGATTCGACGAAAAATTTGAACTCCACATTTACTTATACATATATATATTAAGAACTTTAGTGGGAAGAATTCCCCATTGGAGGTGATCTAAAAGTGTTGATCAGTCTCCAGCAACTTGGCATAGACAATTTCCATCAAGTAATTTTGAACGTATATTAGAAGTTCTTATCCAAAAAAAGAAAAAAGAAAGTATGGTGGAAGTCTTCGTTAATTGTCTGAAACTGAAAGATAAAAAGGAGAGCAGTGGAAAGGCCAATCAATTAGCCCCAATTCTACGTTGCCTGACTTTTCCTAGTACCGACGACACTTAGGTTTATGTGGTATTAATAAAAACTGATATTTTTGAAATAATTTAGTACAAGTCACAGAAATTTCTGTTAGGAAACAAGTTTCTTTTGTTTCGTCCAGTTCATACAAATCCAAAACTAAGACAAAAAAACCATTTACCTCTTCTTCTACTTTTCTTTAACCTCTTATTCATCTCCAAGAAAAAAAAAAGCAGAGGAGAGCACCACCATGATAAATCTTTATCAGTCTCTGACAAAATCTTGGTACTATGCAACCATATGGGTGCTCTTTGTGACCCACTCATTTGTTCTGTCAGCTGATGAGAATCACAAAAAAAGCGCTCCATTATTTGAATGCGCCAATCAGAGAGAACTCGGTTATCCCTTTTGGATACCTGGGAGAAAAGAGTGCGGCCACCCGGATTTCAAGCTCGACTGCAGCGGTGATTTCGCAGAGTTAAGTATATCCTCCGTTAAGTTCCAAATCCTTGAGATCAAGCTTGACAACATAAGACTTTCCATGAAGGACTATCACAACAATATTTGTCCCCGAGACCCTAAGAATGTACAAATCAACCAGGATGTCCTTCCATTTTCTTTTGACACTATACCGTCAATGCAGAACTAACACATTTCTCATGGTATTTGTTAATGCAGAACCCACTAAAGTAAAGAAACTAGGTAGGTATCTATGCTTTTACTTTCGAGGAATCTAATTTCCGTAAAGCATACCTAGGAAGCACCATAACCTAACCAAGCCCCTTGTCTTTTCTAGGAATCGGATTCGCTGGTGGGTTCTTGGGTGCCACTCTTTTGTCAGTAGCTATGCTCTGTTTCATTTGGAGAAGAAAGAAGTTGGCAGCTCAAAACACAAGCAAACAGCTTACAACATCTTCAATTTATCCAACAATGGAAATGGGTAAGGGTCTATTCGTTGCCTTTAGTAAAACCTACGTGTTGCTAAAAAAAAAAAAAAAAAAGTAAAACCTATGTAACAGCATAATCTTACAAAATTTTGTCTTTTTGTTTGTCTCTAGGAACCGGAGTCGCTTGTGGATTCCTGGGTTAGTTTCTAACTAAATAGCTTTCGAACTCAACATATTTTTCTGCTTTCTCATGTTTATTCTATTCTCATTAGGCTTTCGAAAGAGTGAAACTTCACACCATCCGAGGCACCACAAACTAAAGGCACTGCTACAACTACAACAATTTAGTTATGCAGAAGTAAAGAAAATAACAAAATCATTTTCACACACGATTGGCACTGGAGGGTTTGGAACAATCTATGGAGGAAACCTCTGCAATGGTCGCAAGGTTGCAGTGAAGGTCTTAAAGAATGTTAAGAGCGACGGTGAAGACTTCATCAATGAAGTCGCAAGCATAAGCCAAACATCTCATGTTAACATAGTTTCATTGCTTGGTTTCTGCTACGAAGGGTCCAAAAGAGCAATTGTGTATGAGTTTCTAGAGAATGGGTCTCTGGATCAGTTCATCTCAAAGAAGTCGTCGTTGAATCTAGATATGGGTACACTATATGGTATCGCATTAGATGTTTCTCGGGGACTTGAGTACTTGCACCATGGCTGCAAAACAAGGATTGTGCATTTTGACATTAAGCCTCAAAATATAATATTAGATAACAATCTATGTCCAAAAGTATCAGATTTTGGCCTTGCTAAGCTATGTGAGAAAAGAGAAAGCATCTTGTCGTTGCTAGACACAAGAGGAACTATAGGATATATTTCTTCAGAGGTGTTCTCAAGAATTTATGGCAGAGTTTCCTACAAATCAGATGTTTATAGCTATGGAATGTTGGTCCTCGAGATGATTGGAGCAAGGAACAAAGAAACAGTAGAAACTGCTGCTTCTGACTCTAGTTCGACTTACTTTCCAGACTGGATATATAAGGATCTTGTAAAGGAAGAGCATACATGGGTAACTGGCGATGCCACTAAAGAGGAAAAAGAGGTTCCAAAGAAGATGATCCTTGTGGGTCTTTGGTGTATACAGCCATGTCCATCGAACCGTCCACCGATGAATAGAGTTGTTGAGATGATGGAAGGAAGCTTGGATGCAATTGAAGTCCCTCCTAAGCACTCCTTACAGTTGTCTGCAGCGCCTCTTGCTGAATCGACTTGGATTTCCGAAGAGAATTCAGACCACTCTGAGGTATTGCTATGATCCTTAAGTTCAAAATTTTGTCAGCTTGGTTGGTGTACCCATGTAAAGCTCACTGACAAAAGCATGAAAACCTGATTAATTTTCCATTCCAGCGGGAATAATAGATTTTAAGGAACTAGATGATTTCTCGTCATATCACGGGATAACATCATTTAAATATTATTTATGGTGAATAATTTTTTAATATATTTAAAATTTATAATAATTTTGATAACTAAATTTGTTGATAAAAGTCGATAGAAACTTTTAATTGGTTAATAATAGAAGGATAACATTAAATTTTATTACATTATATTAATCATCTTAACACATGCATTTAATAATTATGGAAAAATAAAAATTAAAGAGAGAAACTAACATATAGGAGTTGTGATATACAATATATCTCGTATGTATGTCAATATTCAGAAAATAGTAATTTTGAAAATTATGTTATATTATTTGGATATATAATATAAATTTATTTTGGGACTTCAACAAATAGTAATTATACTTTAGTGTGTGTACATAATTAATCAACACTATAAGATCAATTTCAAGACATTATGAAATATAATATAAGAAATCTTGTAAACATTCATGAGAAATTTGTATGTTATTTACTTTTATATTAATATAATATATTACTTAATAAAATTAGGGTTCAAATCAAAATATATCTATAATTTAGATAATTTGAAAAAACTTAAGGATACAAATATTTTCGTTTGTCTTAAGCTACGATCCATATTTTGATAAAGTTGAAAATCATGTAAACTGCATATTAAAACTTTCAACATAAAAATGTTAATTTAAAAGCTCCCTCGAGCAGAATATTTAATATACTACATAAATTGTTTTTGAAGATATATTCTTAGAATTATATTCTAACTTTCACTTCTACTTGTTTAATTATTTATATATGTACTAAGGACATTATACATAATATACTTATAATAGATGAAATTAACCTAACGTCACAATACATATAGAACTTAGTTCATTGGTATTATTTGTTTGAGAATTATGAAATCCTAAAGTTTTGATCAATACAATAGCGTCAAATTTATTATATATATTTTTATGTGAGAAAGACTGAAGTACAAGAATTATATAACAGAATTTACACTAAATTAAACCTTTTAAAAATTTATTGATGTATATTAGGTTATATATCCTATAAAAATAGGATTTTAAAGTTTAGGTCTAGCAAAATATTTAGAATTCAATCATAATCCTTATTTCTACTTATCTGATAAAGTTGAAATCAAATAATAGTATAAATTTATATTGATAAGTCATTAGTTAAAATCGTAAAAAAAATTATGGAGAATATGACAAATAACAAAATCGTTTTTAACTAGTACTATAACATAGTTTTTTATCTTTGGCTCAACATTAGATCAAACTAAATAGGATATAATGTTCTACATTGTATCTTTGGAAAAAATCCTAAATAATAATAATGGATATAAGCCAATCTATTTTCTACCATTTGATTTCGATTTGGAACTCTACTCAGTAGAGTATTAGAATCCGATCCATTATTGACCTAATGTAAATTTGGTTTTGAGACATATGCACATTTACCTAGAACCAAGGAACAACCATACTGAACCGAAATCGAATTTTGTAAATATGTGGATGGATCCTATATCTTTTGAAACAAAAAAACAAAACAAAAATGAGCCGAAACCATAATGAGAACTGAATTGGTAAAATAAATTTTATATACCTAAAATGCTAATCATTTTTAACCCAAGTATTAATCATATTTAATTTTTAAATAACCAATCCTAAAAATGCTATATATAAACCAAATTAGCCCAAAATGGAATTATTAGAATATTTTATACAAAATATCTGAAATTGTACAAATTGTCTAATAGTTTTATCTAAAACTCCTGAATTACTTGATATTTAACCAAAATATCTGTTTCTTTTTCAAAACAATCCCAAATTAACTTAATAATAGTAAAAATGGAACCAAACTAATTGGATTTGACCTCAAGCTTTCTCATAGATTAGTTGGTTCCCTATCTCTTTACCAAACCGAATCAAAAGCTCAAATAACCAAACCAAAAATCAAAATAGCTAAACCAAAAATCAAAATAGCTAAACCAAAAATAAATCAAATTCATAAATCAAATTTCCTAGGCATAACTGATTTATCGATCATACATTATTTGAGAAGTAGTTTCTTTGAATTTTACTTATGTTATCACCACATTCATTTTCATTATAAAATGATGATGTCTTAATTTTTATTGTGATATGTCAAATTACATTTAAGACGTTTTACATTTTCTATAAGATGCTTGAAATATACATAACTTATGTATCACCCATAAATGAAAATTTTGAACTATAACAGAATTAAAAAAATATATAAAAGGGTAGATTCTCTCAAATAGACATTTTAAGCTTTTTATCACAATAATAAACCTCAAAAACTAAAATGACTAAAATATTATTTTTTATTATGAAAATTTTGAGTTTTTTTTAAAAAATTTGAAATTCTATCCCGAAACTCCATTCTTCAACTCTAAACAAAAAAATCTAGGATTATTTAACCCAAAGGATATAAGTATATATTTACTTATTTTTGATAAAATCTTTAAATCTATTTTAGTCATTTTTATTTTTATGATCTATATTTGTGACAAAAAAAAATTTAGGTCTGATATAGCATGATTTGGACCTGTTTTTAGTCAAGGTATACTGGTGTTTTTACTACTATTTATTACACTATAGAAGCTTTTAAGCATATTTCTGAGTTCATGAGTATTTTGGAAGAAAATGATGTTTTTGAAGCGTTTTAGAGAGAATTGGAAGAAGCGTTCGATTTGGAATCGACTACGAGGTTGGCACGGAGCGACTCGAATTGATCGACATGCACCTTGCATGATCGATTGATTACCAAGACACAAAGGCCATTTCGCGAGACAAGTTGACTTGAAGCACAATCATCACCAAATGACGATTTTACCTCTGACGAGTTTTAACCTAAGTTTATATACTTTGCCAAAGTGTTAGAGGCATATAGAGAGAGTTTTTTTGTATTCTTTCCACAGCAAAGTTTTAGAATTTATAGTTTGGAGAGAAGATCATCAGAAATATGTGTGACTGAAACTCCAGTGTTTTCTACCTATCTATAATATGCAGTTTTATTTATCTATTGGTGTTATGAACTACTTAGCTATGTCTGAGTAGTTTACTTGTTAGATTTAGGGTTTAAATAGGTTAAAGAGATTAGTCACAACTATAGGATTGCTAGTTGTGGTATTCATTAATAGGATGTTCTATACGCTCATGGTTCTAGAGTAGCTAACTACATACATTGAATCTTGGATTACTTATGTTGGATTAGAGACATTTAAGCAATTCTTATAATCGTGAACACATTCCTATTAAGCTAGGATTGCTAGAAATACATCGACAGTTCGATCTAGAAGTCTTTAGTGAGTCTATGTTAACTTTCGTGTAAGGCTTGACCGGACTCATCGATCTATATTCTGACAGGAAATCAATTGATGATGAGTTTAGTGTATCGACTGATATTCCGACTGAATAATCGCTCGACACTACCAAGTACGACCATCCGGTCATTAAAGTTATTTATTCAAATGATAGTGTAATGAATTTGTTGATTAAGACAGTTAATGCTCTGTAGTACCTTGCAAACAACTGAATAGCTCCTATAGGATTATAATTCCAATACCTGAATAAAAACCCTAAGTCTAGCGCTTTTTCCATTTTAGTTTCAAGAGTCTTTATTCCATTTTCGATTAAGTAATTGTCCTGTTTAATCGGAATATTTGATGTTTACTTGTTTAATGCTTTTACTATTTATATTCGCCTAGATTATTGTTTGACTAGATTTATAAGGTTCCCTAGCTCCTTGTGGATTCGATACCTTGAGTACTGCAATAGATTTTTTATTTGAGAGAGTAAGTTGCTCCTTATGATAACCATTTGAGCAGACATCAAATTAGGCGCTGTTGCCTGGGAGCTTTGGTAACCTTTAGATTTAGTCTAATAATTATAGGTTAGTCTTTTTGTTTTTCTTTTTATCAACTTCTGATAAATTTTTTTTTTCTTGATTTTTCAGGTGCATGCACAGCATGACCAGAAGCAACAAGGAAAAACAGCTCTTATTTTCAGAAGACCCTACAAGTTTGGAAGGTTCGATCCGCAAAGACCTACGTTCCGCATCGATCAACGCCAACATATCTTCATCGACCGATTCTCATCAAACCCCAACCGACCTCGCTTCATCATCGATCGACACAGATTATTCTTCGTCGACCGATTCGGATCACTTGACATTGATCAACACCGCTCAACGTACATCGATCGATTCTCAGCCGCGAGACATGGTTGCACGTTTGGTTCTAACCGCAAACGCGAATGGAAACCTGTATGGCCAAGAAGGTCATCTGCGTAATGCAACATGTCATAAACTGGATACTCAGGGTAATGTAATCCTTGAACCTGATACTGATGAGACCACTCGACCGAAGACCTTGACAGACTACAACCGCCCAGATCAGTACTACACCAACAAGTTAGCTATTCGTCTCTTAAACGTTCAGAGGGAGAATTTTGAATTGAAGCCCTAAGACTACACACTCATAGCACAGATACCCTATTGTGGGTTGCCACATGAGCATCATATGGACCATCTTGAGAGGTTCGAGGATCTCATTGCTGCTATTAGAGTTAAAGGAGTCCTTGAGGACTACTTATTGTGTAAGCTCTTCAATTTCTCACTTGCTGGAGATGCTGCACATTGGCTTAAGTGTTACCACCATGATCTCTTACGTCCTGGGCTGACATCAAGAATGTGTTTCTTCGCAATTTCGTTGATGAGGGACGAGCTGAAGAACTAAGGAGCAGAATTTCTACTTTCACAGAGAAGCCTGGAGAGTCTTATAAAGATTTTTGGCTCAGATTTGAGTTCTTCCAGCGCGGCTGTCCACACCATGGATTTAATGAAGTGCAGCTGCTCAGTACTTTCTTTAGAGGAATCGCTTTGAAGTATCAGATGACTCTGGATACAGCAAGCGATGGAAGCTTGAACACCAGGAATTTGGAGGAA